TATATATATATATATATATATATATATATATATATTTGTTGCTCCCGGCAGGAGACAGTGTTTAACCATCAAAAGATCAGGATCATTTGAAATACAAGAAGAGTGAAAAAGCGATTTTGGTCGCAAAGTTTGAATCATAGGGCATGCTGTGTCTGAATAAATTCCAGGCTGCCACATCCAACATCAACAACCCAGCCAATGTCAATGCAACTTTCTGCAGAATTTACAAACTATTTACATAAATGACATTAAATATGGGCTTTGGACGCTATCTGAAAATTAGTTTGGATGTTGATGATAAAAGGAAATACTAAGGGTGGAAGAAAGCACAGATTAGAGAAATATTACCACAATTACAAACAAGATGAAAGTCCACAATCTAGTAAGCAAGTCACACAAATCAATTTCTTAACATTGTGAAAGGGCCCTGCTTATGATTTAAAGGAAACAAGAGCTTCAATTCTCAAAACATTTAAACTAAGTTACTCCAGTAAAAATAACATATCAAGTTCTATTCCAAGATGGATGCAGATAACGATTCTATTATGAAGTGTTGAGATAAAAATGCAAAAGTTATGATTGTTCACAACTGATTCAAAAGCTTAAGCGCACATTACGCATCCCCCAAAATGAAGGGAAATTGTGCAGAAAACGTACATGGAGTCGAACAAGATCCATTTGAAAGAGGAGGAACTGCAGTTGAGCCCATCTGCGCCATGTGCCGACTTTGTTGCAGAAGCAATTCATTGAAAACCATTATCTGCTGCTTCAGCAACAATCTGACATGGTAGGCCCTAAAGAAATCTCTGTTTTCCTCCTCAAGTTTTTGCCAAACTGTAACCAAATAAAAAAGGGATCAATGTAGAAACAAAAATATGATGAAACATTCTTCATTTCTGCATAGTACATAGCTTCATGCTACTAAATTAGATATTTCAAATAAAATCAGTGAAAAATGCATTCCTGTCAAAACTCGTCTTGCAGGCATCTAATGTTCATTAGTTATACCATATTTATTTACTGTAAGCCAAAAGACGGGGTGGCAGAAGGTAAACATGATATGTTTGTGATGTAGAGAACTTGAGGAAACATAGAAAATCAGCAAGAAAGCACTTTGACACAAACAACTTTGGAGAAACCATAAGGCTTTCTCCCACCTAGGTCCCAAGCCTTACGCTCCTTTTCCCGAGACAAAGTCTTTTCTTTTCTTAAAGAGGAATACATGAATGCCTCTTCAGTCCATCCACGCCCTTATTTATATTGGAAAATTATTGTTTTGGACAATATTTGTTTATCCATACGATTAACTTCTGACCAAAAAGTCCTAACTTAAGTATAACTTGAAACTAAACTCCCTAACTTTAATTAAAATATCTAAAAAGTCCCGAACTGATCTAGCAATAAAATAAATTAAAAAAATCTGAAATAGCCTCAAAAACCCAAAAAAAACATTCAAACTATTCTTGCTCTTCTTATTCTTCTTGGAGGCCCTCTTAGGGCTTTCTTCCTCCAAATATGAGCGAAAATTAGGAGGAACTTATCGCTCCTAAGGAAGATACTTGTGGCTACTTATTGTGCTCTGATCACCATCATCAGTTTGGGAGCTTCACCACAGATAATTCAGTTACTAGCAGTCCTTTAATAATATGGTATTGTACTAGTTCACTGAAAGATTATAGTATGGACAATGGACACAACAAGGGGTTGGGTGTTTGAAGAGTTCTCATTTTCCGACTGGTTCCCAAGTTACTCCCTGTTAAAAAAGCTATAGTTGCATTGATAAGAGTGAGGATTTTTCTTGGAAAGAAAACGTTTGTCTTGAGTCCTTTGAATGAAGAATTTGGTAACAAAGGTTCGAAGTAAGTTTTCATTTTCTTTTTCCTTTTGTAGTCATAAGCTTGCACAATTTTGGCCTATTTGCTTGCACCAAACATCATGACCTTTTTGCAATATTGGGCAATCAAAAAACATAAATGATTTTGAAACACCAATGGCACATCTGACAACCTAAAATTAGTAATTACATTTTCGCGATAGCTACCTGATATCAAGATTGGCAAAATTTCACGCCTGGCTCCCCCGGGCCTCCGCCGCCCCCGCTTATCATGCACTCTCTCCTGGACAATTTTCAGGCTAGAACCATGCTCAGCAAGAGGGGTTCCATGTCATCCCTTTTTTCAACACTTTGCAACCCCTCTCCCTGGCTCTCTAAGTTCATTAATTCTCACAAAATCAGCTTCTCTGTAACCCTGTATGCCCTTCTCTCACTAAATCCAATTCTTCTCTATGGAGTTTACTTTCTTCAGTGCTGAATCACTTGCCATTTGACACAAGCTGCTGGGTTTGGCTAAAAGGTCAGGTCCTAGACTTGAACTCACCATGTAGTGATAGTTGAAAAAATGTAGCCTGTTATTCAAACTTTTGGTTATCTTTCTTGGGAATAAAATGGGTTTAAATGATCTGACAAATTGGGGATTTGGGATTTTAATCTAGAGATGTAGAAGATCTAACTCGTTTCAATTTAGAATTGTGTTTATAAGTTTGATTACGTTTGCTTCTTTATGATTTTTCTCTCTTTTTTTCCCCTCGCTCATGGGCCTAATTTGTTCTGCTTTTTTCTTCGTTTATGGTTGGCTGATATGGTATCCAACATAGTGTATAATGGTATTCTCCCTCTGGAATGGTATTGTCCCTCTGGAACCACGGAAAGCATGTTATTGTTTGATTTGGTGGCTCTCTCCCTATCTCTAGAACCACAGAGTACCTCAAAACCTCATCAATAGTGGTTTTCACTCTCAACAATAGATATTCAAAAGAAAGGGAAAATATTTGGATATTTCATTTAGAACCAAACATGTACATATCACAATAGTATAAATTCATGGTAAAAGAAAAATTAGCAACTCTGTTAATGCAAAACTAATATTAATATATTTTTTTAGTGAAGTATTTCAAACAAGACTTTTTAATCTATTCTTTTCAGATATGACAGTTAAATTCCCAACGACATTTTAAATATGGAATCTCCTAGAAATATACATCTAGATCCAGTTCATAAATGAAGAAATATACATCTAGATCCAGTTCATAAATGGAGAAAAAAATATTTCCTGGTATGTTTGCCTTGGCCGCAAACTAGCAAGTCACAATGAAATGTGTTGTAGAAGGCTGGGCTTGAGAAGCCGTATGGACCCCAAACCTTAAGCGAGCTTTCATGCAAAATGAAATGGAGTGGCTGATTAGTTCATTAGTGCCCTTGCTGAGTTACAGGACTTCTTTTATGATGATCTGGAGCCCCAGCAAGAAAGGGACATTCTGACTAAAATCATTTTACTAGACTCTCACATGGATCTCAAAAGAAAACTCGATCTCGAGAAAGATATGGAGCATACAGAACTGCCTAAGGTACAGGCATTTGCATGGCTGTTACCCTGAATGGGATTATAAAACATAGATAACCTCAGGAGAGAAGGCCTCATTATTCCTTCACATATGCATATTGTGAAAAGAGGAAGGTGAACCTATAACATACCCATTCTTACAATGTAATTCAGCGAGATGCCTATGGGGTTTGCATTGAATATCTTCTGCACACAATGAAAGGCGCTGGAATCAGTAGAGGGCTTGTTAGCGCAGTGGTTCTCTCCAGAGCTACCAAAAAGGGTCTCACAACATGGAGGCAACAATTTTGCCAACGGGGTGCCATCTGAGTTAAAGGAACAGTAGGAGGCATAAAAAAGTGCGAGAAGAGGAGTGGATTGAAGGCGAACCCATGGCCACAGTCACTGCATGGGTCAGAATGAAGAAAGAAATTACAGGGTATTCCTCACTCAATTTCCAGGATAAGTGGCTAGAGAGAGCATCAGGTAGGATACAAAGAAAAATCAGAGTCGCAAGGTGGGTACCCCCCCTGAAAGTATATACTTCAATTGAATTTTAATGGATGCTTGCTAGGGAAAGCTGGTTGGGCTGAAGGAGGAATTTTGAGTGATCATCAGGGTAAAATCCTCATGACCTACTCTGATCCTCTTGGAACTTGTGATTCCAATGAGGCACACGAGAGAAGTGCGGGCTGGTATGGGAAGTTTAGATCCTGGGGGCAAGAGGTAGTTGTAGAGGGGGATTCGACGAATGTTATAGCATGGGCTAGGTGCGATGTTTAGTTCTACCTGCAAGCAGTGGTACAAAGAGACCAACATAGGTGTCACGTCTAGTGCATGTCATAGGTGTCCAGTGCATTCCGCCAAAAAGCGATAATGGCGAAACATGTCCATACCAGTATTTTTATACATAGGGGAGATGATTATTATATAGTCCTGCAGTACCACAATGTACACATGTTGAGCAAACAAAGAGACCATTTTAGGAGGGTTTGTTTGACACGAAACTCAAATCAGTTTTATTCATCACAAGAAATAAATTTTTTATAAGAATAGGTTGAAAGCTCAAAAGAATGCTTCAAATCAAACCATCCCCCATCCCCCACCAAAAAAAAAACCTTTCTTTTCAAAATCGACTCTAGCTGTCCACTTGATGGACAGAATTAGGGTTTAAAAACTTTAAATCGTTTTTTTTTTTTTTTTTTGAAATTGTGTACAAAATGAATTAAAGATGATTTAAAAAAAATTCAGGTAAAAAAAAAACCCTAAACATGGCCTTCTTCCCTAGGGAACATGTATATTTTACAGCAGGAGTATATGCTAGTAGTGTCTTCTATAGAACTTAAGAAAATTAGAAGAAATCATATGAAATAAAAGAAACATATGATCAAATTCATTTCATGTGAAAAGATTTGAAAATATTGTCTATTCTTCCTTCTTGTTTTTTAAGTAATGCTTCTTTTGATACCATATTATTCACAAAATGTTTTGCAAAATATGTCATTAAGTACCAGAGGTGGAGTGGTAGTAAAGTGCTAGCCCCAAACTTTAAGACTTTGTGGCCAAATTCAATTCCCCAACTGACACTCATTTTATAAACCATTTACATAGAAGTCCCACTGTGCCATTTGGTCATCACAACTAACATGGAATCTCAATACCCGATGTTAGAAACCTATCATGGATGACACATGCAGTAAGCATGTTTGCCACATCGGTGGAGTGTTGACATATGACAAAAAGGAAAGCACGAAGTGTCAATGTGACACTTTCTGCAGGGGTCTGCCCAAAGATACATAACTGTTCACAAGTCCTTAAAAAATACTCTTCTTTCTTCCTTTCCTTTACAATGGTTCACATATTTATGAGCTATAAAACATGGCAACATGTGTCACAGCTTTGGTGCATGTGTGTGAAACAGATGCATTTCGATACTCTAGAAATATGTTTCCAATGGGAGAAAATGTCATATAACATATTTCTGTCATTGTTTGGATTTTATTTCCTTTGGAAATAATATTTTCATTTTAACCATTACTTTATAGACAAGTCACAAATACAAAATCAAATTTTTAATGAATTGATCAAATAAAATCAGGACATGGTTTCTATGAGTCCATGTAGAAATGAGTCGCCTCTTTAAGGACATGTAATCTCTAATATGGAAATCATGAATATGAAAGAATAAATAAATTTTGAAAATTAGAAATAATAATTCTATTAAGAAAACATTTGGACCGTTAGTTTCAATTGTTTTTAGATGGACCACCTATTTGCATCCATCTTTAAGATGGATGCTTTATACCTTGGGACTGCATATTGTAGAAATGCGGTCCCACCCGAATGAACCAATATTCCATAAAATAATAATTTCTGTGAGCTTTTACTATCTAATCTACAGAGTAACCTTTCAATGTACTTGTTTTATTTTAGAGATCCCATCAAAACTTCGGTTTACTACTCCCACCTAAAAGTTGGGAGGAAATTTTAGCACAGCATATTATGATGCCACCAATTTCAGAATGGTACAAGAAGTATGAATGAAATTGAGATCCCCCTATTTTTCTCTACTGAATTTTTATAGAAAACATTTTATGGTTTCATATCAAATCTAAAAAGAATGTATAATATATGAAATTTATACTATCTAGGTATGGGCACAGAAGTGTTGTTTCTAACATTCTATTTTTAAGGTTAATGCTTTTGACACGTGTCCATGCCCGAATGAACACGCAGGTCCATTTCTATCGAAATAGTTCATGAGAAAACTCTAACTTGACCTGCAAGTAATTTTAATCATAACCCTTCATTTAACCTAACCCTGCTTTGACAAATTTATTCTTAAAATCTCTAAAAGCATAGACGACATAAAAAATATCAACTATAATAAAAGACACCACTACCCTTGAAATCTCCACAAAATAAAACAACCTAAGTAACCCTATTGCAATCTTTTAAAGGAAAAATTCCTAACCACACCACCCTCTTACCAAGTCGAAAGGTCTGAAGCATAGGCCTAGCCTAGTCTGAGTCCTGATTTTTGGAGCCTTGTGATGACTTAGTCCCACATTAGACATGAAAAGGAATTGATTGGTACGGATTGGCTTTCTCCTGAACACTCTTGTTCTAATATTTATAGTCTTTTTCTTTTCAGTTTCCGACTTGTATTATTTTTTTAAAATAAAGATGAAGTAAAAATTTGCTCGAGTCAACATCACTCTGGTTAGTTTAGCAAAATCATTCTGAAACTCAGGTAAGTCTTACACTAACCCAGCTGATGCTCTGCAGTGACCATGAAACACGAGGCCAAGTCAGTAAACTATGACTTTGCTCCATTTTGACTTACAGTAATCTAAAGTAAGCATGGAACATACATGAAGGGCCAACTCGCAATATCTATTTCACAAAATTCATGAGAAGATCCAAGAAGATCAAATGCCTTTAAGAAGGAACAAACAAGATACTAACAGCGTACCAAGTTCTGTGAAACCAGGTTCTATCTTTGCCTGCTCCAAGAGAGTGTACACAACTTCTTTTTGGTTCATGTAAAGTTGCAAACACCGTTCTATAAGATTTTGCACCTGCTCACAATATTGAAAAGAAACAAATAGAGACACATTTGGGTGAGGATGATAGGAATAAAAATCTCAAATTTTACAACAATCCATTCAAACACACTATCATAATTATATAACTATGAGTGAAGCTTGAGCTGACAAGTATAGATACGAATAGCATGTTATTGATTCGCTACTGAAATTCTTGGCACACAATTACCACTATGAGCTGACATGGGCATTATATTTTGCAATGAAAACAAATTTATGTAAGATAGAAATTACTTGGAAAATGAACATGAAACAAGATACTGTGTAATTAAGACGCTACAACTGTGTGGTACTGCACAGAAAGGAGTCACTATTTCAAGTGCACCATATAAAATATTTCACGGACATTTTTGGAAATTCATAAATAGAGGAACTCAAAGGTCGACAATCTAGGTTCAATACATAACTGGAAAGTCATGGCCAAAGGAATGAATAATATCCAGAACAGAATCACAACACGAAAAACAATTCACACACGCATGTTACAGGAATAAAAGCAATCTGCAATTCTCTCTCTCTCTCTCCCCCCCCCCCCCAACAAGGAATGAATAATATCCAGAACAGAACCACAACACAAAAAACAATTCACATGTGCATGTTACAGGAATAAAAGCAATCTGCAATACTCTCTCTGTCTCTCTCTGTCTCTCTCTATCTCTCGGTCTCCCCCCCCCCCCAACCCCACACACACACATACACATACACATGCTCACTTGTGCACCACACATGGCTACATCATTTACAGTAGGATAAAAATTAAAATTCACCAGCTGGATATCTTGACGAGAGACCTTCCTGACATCTCCATTAGGCACCTTCCCAGTTTCCATATTGACGAGGGATGACTCAGTTGCATAAGATTCAACAGAGAAGCTCTGACCCTGCCTCAATACCTGATGCAGTACAGGCCCAGAAGAATGTCGGTGGCAGTCCTGACCAGACAATGAAGAATCTCATCAGCCAAATAATTCGACCATTGATGAACAAAGCATCAAGGTAAAACAGAGTGTGATATCTGGTAGTTTAAAGCTGTAAAAGGAAAGTACACAGGGTCCAATTAAAGGGTAAGCTAGTAATCCTCAAATGATGATGTACAAAAGGACAAATATCTTAATCTAAAATTTGTGTATTACTTTGACTAGTCATTGTAACTGAAAAGATTTATTACAAAACTCAGTGAAACTGGAACTACCATATTTCTTGTCCTAGATGGAAGAAACTGTGGTTAAGTCCTATGCTATCAAAAGTGACACAGGAAAAAAATGAGGCATCCCCATAACACCTCAAACTAGGCCTAGTTCAAGTGGCTGGGCAAGTGGCTAACCTCACTTAGGGCCTCACCCATTAAATTGTGTCTAGGTACTAGAATATTTCTTAAAAAAAAACCCCCATACTTAAATTGGGGCTACTCTGGTGACTTACCCATCCAAAAAGGTTGAAGTCCCTAAAAAATTTACACCAAACCCCCTTTTCTCCCTTCCCCCCCTCCCAGAAACCAAAACATATCTTCCACCTCACAAAACACTGCTCTCTAGAAAACTGATTCAAGACATATAAGAAGTCCCAAACTTTAAGGCACGTATGATAACAGGGACAGCCCAAAACCAGGTTTGGGCTAGCCATGAATTGGCCGGAAACTCGCATCTGGTAGTGGGAATAGATAACACTGACCAGGGATATGAATGGCTCCATCACCAAAAACTAAGGATGGGGGGACTCTCTCTCTCTCTAGTACAATTTTGAAACCCTACTTTACAATACAACAATCTTTTGAACCCTAGTACATTTTTGAAACCTAATCTTTGCACAAGGTTTAGATTGCAATCGGCACGAAAACCTAAACCCTAAACAACAAAAAGAGGTTTACAATTTAGGTTTTCAAATATGGTTTTGAACCCTAATTCCAAAACAGAGGGCCTACTGTTTTGAACGTAGCTGTTAGGATCAGACAGGACGAGACTAGGATTGGGAACGCAACAAAGAGCAGGGGATCATGAAAACCCTATGCTTAGGATTGTTGTCCGTGGCTCCGTGCAATGCATGTGTTAGGGATCTAGATCCCCAAACGTCAGGGATCGAGATCCCAACCTTGAGAATCTTGATCCCGACCTCTTGGGTTCTTGATCCCAACCTCTTGGGGATCTTAGTGACAACCTTAAAGAGTGTGTATAGTTTAGGACTATATGCACTCTTTAAAGTAGGGATCACTTTAGCCAGTAAGGCAATCATATTAAAAACACAGTTGTATTGCTAGGTGACTATAAATTACTAAAACCAAGGTTGGGAACATGATCCCTAACAGTAAGAATCGGGAACACTACTAGTAGGGGATCAATGTTGCAAAATTTAAATATTGATATACCTTGAAATCGCTTTCTCGGAGCACTGGAGTGAGATTCCAAAGCGGAATCTCCACATATGTTGAGAGAGCCTGGCAACTATGGTCTCGAAATCAAACTGTGCTTCTTAAAAAAAAAAAAAAAAGCTACAGTTTACTGTCATTTGAAGAAAATGCCTCTCTATTCACAAATTATCGGCCGCAAAACTCTAATTTACAGATGATAGATTAGGGTTAATTTAGTAAGTTACAGATTGTGATAAATTACATACCTTTTTTGAGATCCTAATTTACATACTACCCAAATTAGGATTCTATTTTGTTTACTGTAAATTACAGCAAACAAAGTTTTTATATTTTTGCCTGAGTTTTAGAGTAAATTACTAAGCATTATAGTTATTTACTGTAAATTCAGTAATTTTACAGTAATTTATTGTGAGTAAAAATTACTGTCATTTACTGTAAATTAATCGTATATGACCTTTTCCAATTTTTCTAGGTTGATTCTTTGATCTGATTATATATTTACAGCTACAACTGTCGCAATGTGATTGCATATGTCACAGAGAAATTGTATTTTGCGGTCCTCGAGTGTTTTAATGTGTGTATATTTGATTTATTCAGCTAATGTCATAGCTTTTGTGTTCTCAATCTTTTCTATGCATTGCTGGGTTTTGGTTTATGTATTGAGGATTCAAATTTTAGTCTTCCATAATGTGTGTGATTATGCCTAATTATGTTTGTTGTGGGTTTAGAAGGAAGGTTTTTTATGGTCTGGATTATGTAGTGGGCAAGTAGCTGACACAAAGCTTTCTCTAATACCTCTCTAATTGACCTAATTGTCCCAGTGATAATTAGTAGGTGATGCTGAGCTTACTAATGTTAAGACTACTATAACTTTTGCTCCTGATACTATCCATAACCAAGAAAATTTCCTTTTTTTTTATGAGCATGAAATTGTGTTTAATTTTTTTAACAGAATTATTAAATAAAAATTAGCTGATCATGGTGATAGCCCTTGTCTCTTTGTTTTTGTCTCAAGAGTTAGGGTGTGGTCAACGTTTTCCTTTGTTTTTAATGGAGAATTAACAGAATAGAGAGATAAAGAAAGGAAGACATAATTGAAGAAAGCACAAAGCACAAATTAAGCAGTCCAACTGCCGTGGTGCCACCTCAAAAAACATAAAGCATATATGCAATCAAGTCCTAACACTAAATCCAAAGGATCGACATGTCGCAGCAGACATGAAATAAAAGAATCAAATTAAAAAAAAACACAAAGCAGGAGAAAACACACACGGAATGGAGAAAATTTATCCAGAAACAGAGTTATGTGAAAAAAATTCAATAAAAACATTTAAGATGACCCCAGACAATAAACCCCACAATTGATCACGCATAATCCCAAAAAACAAAAAAGAAAGAACTGTAAAACTTGGAAACGAAAAGATAAGAATAGAATAAAGCATGATCACAAACAAAAACATTAATAGCTATTAAACCCTAAGAAACCCATGAAAAATATTCACAACAACCAAAAAAGAAGAAAAAAAAAACAAAGAAAGTGTATCCAACTAAAAAACAGATAAAATTTCATTACAGCATATCAGATAGATAAAGGATCAAACAAGAATTGCCAGCATCAATCACCATTACAAAAATAATGAGAAGACAGAAAAAAAAGAGGAATTAGAGAACAACCTGATGAAAGGCGATAGGAATTGGGCTCTGATCATTCATACGGAAAACCAGAAAGAGAGAGCGAGAGAGAGAGATAGAGAGAGAGAGGTGCGTCTAGGCGAAGCTTACCCCCAGCGAGGCGTCTTCCAAATATATATTATTTGGCTTCTGCGAAACGAGCACAGCGTAAGTATATTTTATAAGGCCTAGGCTCTATGAAAACAAAATAAAGCCCCATCTTAAATTCTTGTCACGAAAGCACTTTGAGAGCAAGGGAAATCTTTATGATGTTCTAAAATCAATTTTCAACGCTCATAATAAAATTTGAAATTTAAAAAATAGTACAAATATTGTGGATCTATGAACACATAATTTTAGGATGAAATCTGACGGTCTAGATAATTTGTTGTAATATATATTATTTTTAAAGCTTTAAATCCTAATTTATTTTTATAAACATAATGTTCAAGTAGAAATGATCGATGCAGAGGTTTTTCAATGCTTAAATTGTAATTTTGAATGAATTATGTAATAAGAGGAAATTTATATTAGGGGACCATTTTTTTATTACGATCATTATTAGCCACTTGAAATTTGACACTAAGAATGAGTCAAAAAGTTTTAAAAATTTTTTATTGAATGTCATGCACAATCAATTTGACACTAAGAATGAGTCCAAAAATTTTAAATTTTTTTTATTGAATGTCATGCACAATCAATGATACGCTTTTAATCATTTATTCTACACTTAACAGCTATGAGTGATTTTGACATCTCTATGTTAAATTTTAAATAAACTTATTGCATATTTTCTCCTTTATCATCATTGTCATCATCAAAACTTGTTTTTCAACACAAATCTTAATCAACTATTATGCTCATACCCTCAATGAGGTCATACCTCCTCCTTTATAAAATGCCTAAAATAGCTCTGCATGTCATATTAAAAGCTTTTTCCACTTAAATCTTCAATAAATTTCCAATATTGCAATGAGAATTGTAACTGTATTTATCTTGCAGGGCAAAATGTATGCGTGAAAAATACCTACCCAAAATAACGTCTATATTTATTAAGCGAACAGGTAAAAAACAAGGGATATTACAATATACATACTTTCTATTAATGAGTATTTCATTATTTGGTTCTAAACAAAACCCATGTAATTAATAACAATTGGAGGTTTGATTCAAAATCCAAACAAGAGATTCAAAGAAAATTATTTATGGGTGGTGAGTGTTTACATAACAAAAAAAATTAAGGAAAATAGTTTGGTAGCCTGCATCCCTATCAATATAAGTAAAGCCTCACCTGATTACTCATCAAAATTTTCAATTCAAGTGTTGAAAACATTTAAATCGATCAGCTTGAGCATTATAGTTGTGAAAAAAACATTTAGGATTTCAAGTTCTTACTCATCAAAATTTTCAATTCAAGTGTTGAAAACATTTAAATCAATCAGCTTGAGCATTATAGTTGTGAAAAAACCATTTAGGATTTCAAGTTCTTAAAAAACATATATTGCAATAAATAATCTAGACTTTAAAATTTATATCATTTTTTGAGTTTCAAATTTTATTGTCTGCCTTGAAAATTGATTTCCAAACCACGTGAAAATTGCTAATGCCTAGAGTGCTTTTCGAATAAAGATTTGATGTGAGGCTTTATTTGTTTTTTACAAATCCAAGGGTCAGTGGAAACTTCATCCTGATAATAAAGACCGGTAAGATTCTAATTTAGTTTTCCAATGAAGGATAAAGTGGTTTGTCTAAGCTTTAATTGGGTCCCCCTTTAGAAAGCGACATTGAAAAGGACATATGGATATCCATATTTTGATTGCATTACACCGGAATTTGGGTTTCTTTGGTGACGGATGATAACTTGTACTTTGTGTTCGTGGTTTGGTGGTGGTGAAGGCTTAAAAAACAGTCCTTTATTTAATCAACTAAGTCTTGTTTTTGTTGCGCAAGTAACGCCGTCCTGAAAACGATGAATAGGATAAGACCAACTGGACAGCTCATCAGTCTCAAATTCCGGGCTTCTCTCCTCTCTCTCTCGCCTCTTTGACTTGTCATCTAAAAGTCAAAAGATACGTTGACCGATTTGACGATCTCCCTCTTTCTCATCCTCTTCCTCTCTCTCCATTTGTTTTTGAGATTTAACAAAGTTACCTTGTTGTATAAATTTGTATAATGAAAGTATTTACTTTTAGGGAAAAGCTTACATAGGGAACGCTTTAAATGATCAAATTGGAACTTACTACAAAAAATTTCACTAGAAGAAGTTGTTTTGATGTTCAAATATCTTCAAATTGATCATCTGGACATCAAGATGTATGGACATGAGAAAAAAATAGATTCAAGTTTTGAAAATAGCGTATTTTATAACGTATTTTTGGACTATCAATTTCAAGATTTTCAAGCCTTTATAGATATGTCGATCTACACTATTTTTTAAGCTTTAAACTTAATAAATAAAGATGAAATTATATTTTAAGGCTATTATAAATATTTCCAATATTGAAACCACATTTTTCGATACAATTTAAAGATGGGCTCTAATTTGATTGTTTAGAGCCGAACCTCACCCTTACTTATATAAGGGTGCGGTTTGCATAGAGTTAAGGCTCTAAACAATCAAAGTAAAGGCCACTTTCAGAAATATGGTAATATTGAAAATCTTTGTTATAGCATTAAAATATATTTTCATCTTTAATTATAAAATTTAAAGCTTCAAAAATAGTGTAGATCGAGCGGATCCATGAAAACTTCAAAATCTAGAAAATTGATGGTCTAAAAATGCGTTATAAGATGTACTATTTCAATCACTTGAAATCCATTTTTTTTCTCATGGCCACGTATCTTGATGTCGAGATGATCAATTTGAGGATATTTGGGCATTAAAATAACCTCTTCTAGTGAAATTTTTAAGATAGGTTCTAATTTGATTGTTTAGATCATTGACTCTATATAAACTTTTCCTTTTAGATAAAGTACCTACATTATACTATACTACTATACAAGTAAGATGCGCCCCTCTAAATTTTGCTAGGAGATGTAGTTTTGGTGTTTGAAATCGTATAATAGCCTGAAAATCCATGTTCAGCTTTAATTATGAAATTTAGAGTTTCAGTAATAGCACAGATCAAGCTGATATTTAAATACTTGAAAATTTTGAAAATAAAAGGTCCAAATAACTTGTTAAGGGATACATTCTTTTCAAGATTTGAAATTAGTTTTTTTTTTTTTCTTATAACTATATATCTAGAGGTTGAGATAATCAATTGAAAGGTTTTTCAACTTCGAAACACTCCTGTCTACTGGATTTTTTAGATACACTTACTTCTTTATTATAAGGTTGCAACTTTATATAAAAAAATTTCCTTTACCAAAAAGGACAAAGAAAAACAAAACAACAAAAGCCTGGCCGAAAATGAGTAGAGATCATCACCATTCATCTTTCTAACTGATGATGCTCAAGATAAGCCAATAACCCTGCCAAAAAATAAAGACATCATAATCTGTCGTACTTTCTTCCCTCTCAATTTGGGAACTAATCCCCCCACTATGATCTCCCCTGTTCAGCTAGCACATTAGTTGTATTGCTTTCTCTATTAAATGTAGAAAAATGGCCTCCTTGGCTATCAATACATACTAAATTTCTCCATAATTAATCTTCAGTATCATGGCATCATGTTGGGCTTTTTGCACAATTTGATAGCATTAGAAAAATGGCATTCACTCTGAAGTTTATCATGTTATGCAAGTAGCTTTTGCACCCTATTCTTTAACTCCAATATATCAGTCTCATTCGTTGTAGATGGGTGCAAACATCCAGAGCAAGTAAAGAC